ACTCCTCACAAGGCACAGATAGAGGGGCTTCCACAGCCCCAAAGACTGCATATCAAACCGCCACTCAAAGACAGGAGAAGGTGGCCTGCCAGGAACAAGATTGTGCTCTTTAAACATCTAAACACAAGCCACTCCTTCCAGCCCCAATGGCTAGGAACAGCTTGAGTTTTAGGGTCACAAGGGGGTTCAAGTCCCAGGCCTGCCAGTTCCTAGAAATGTGACTCCAGGGCAAGTCACTTCTCCATATGGGAAACAGGGATCCTAATACCAGCCTGGAAGAATGGTGACCAGGATTTGATGGGATGCACGCTTAGCTTGTGGGTGTCTCTTTTCTGGCCATTTCAGCCTTCCTCCTCCCTCTCTGGCAGAGACCCCACTCTAGTCAGTCCTGAAGCTGAAATCTTGAGGGTATGGGGGGGGGGCCTCAAACTGCAGAAAGTGGGGGCTGGGGGGCGCTGAACTTTCGAACCCGCAAACCCCCTGCGCCGTTCATTACCTTAACACGAGTTAAAAATAACCGTCTCATCTCTTTAAATTAGTCTGTCTGCAATTACCGCCTGGCACGGCGCTGCCCGCCATCGTCCCGCTGGAGCGGCGCCAGGTGGCAGGCGGGGGCCCTCACCCTGTCTGTCGGTCTGTCTGTCTGCTTCCCGGTCCCAACCTCCCCAACCCTCCCCAACCCACGGCTGAGACGGCTACCCCAGGGGCCTCCCGAGCTCCCCAAGTTGCGGGGGGGAGGGGGCCAGAGTCGTGGGCTGTGGGCGGGCAAGAGCGAGGGGGCCGGCAGGGAGCAGAGGACTGGGGTGGGGGCTCCAGAGCGCGGGGGAGGGGCGCCGGGAGGCCTGGGAAGCCGGAAGGGCCCGCAGCGCCAGCGCTCGTGGGTGGGTGTGAGCAGGTGGCCGTGGGAGTCTGCCGGGCGTGCCAGCAACTGTGCCAGGAGCGGCTGGCACGGGCTCGTGCCCAGGAGGCGGGCAGCTGCCAGCACCCCCCTGCTCGTGCAGTGCGGGAAGGGGGGTGTTGAGGACACCCCCAACCCGAGCTCACAGAGCCTCCTCCCACACCCCCACCAGCCCTTAGGGCTGGGGATCCCGGAAGGACAAAGGAGGAGGGAGCCCTGCTGGAGCAGGCTTGAAGGAGGAAAGAAGGGGGCGCCTCCTGCACTCACAACCAATACTCAGCACAGCTGTAGCAGGACCTTCTTCCTGGCCACTCAGATCAGTCCCTCTTTCTAGCCCCCACCTCACCTAGGACCTACTGGCCAGCCTGGGCCAGATGGGGGTAGCATCACTCCTCCTGATAGCACCCCTCAACGGCCAGGCTGCTCCAGGCCCTGAGGGAGAAGGGAAGTCCCCATCCACTGTGCACCTCCCCCATCAAGCCTGGGGGACAGCAATGGGAGGAACCCAGGCCTGGCGTAGGAGCTCCCAGGGGAGCTGGCAGCCAGGAAACAGAAAAGCAGGCAGAACAACTCCAGGGGTGCTAAGTGGAAGGAGCGCCAGCACCTAGAGCAGCCTGGAAGGCTTCTCGGAGGAGTCCATCACTAGAGAAAGTGGGGCGGGAGCATCTGAGAGGAAGTTGGAGGCTCTACCTGCATGTCATATATCCAAACTTCTGACACTTCAGAGAGAGGGGGACCTCCTGTCCAAGCCCTCATCCCAGGCCTGGAGACACTCCACCCTCAGAGGAGCAATACCAGCCTCTTTGGTGGAGTTCCCAGCACCAAGCCCAGCAACTCCTTCAGGCTTCAGCCTGGTAGGTGTCCTGCACCTGCTGCTGATCTTGCCTCCTCCAATTTGCTGGACTACCTCCCTTCATCACAGGTGGGACCACCGGGCAAAGGCTAAGCACATCAGCCTTTTCCAATCTGTCCCACTCTGCCTTTCCCATGCCACTTCCCTGCAATCCCTGGAAGCCCTGAGCTCTGACCTGGCACACCCAACCATCTTCTAGACCCGACATGTCCAATTCTACCTTTGCGTATGCAGTCAATGTCCCCTGGAAGCCTCTCCCAAATTCTACACCCCAATGAAGGTAGCCCAGATCAAGTGTCACCTTCTCTGTGAGAGAATGCCCAGCTCCCCAGGGGATCTAACCTGCCTTCCCCACACCCCTACCCCCACCCCTCACCCTTTCTGCCTATAAAACACAGGGCCTGGTTAGGAACTGGCAGAGCCCTGATTCCAACTGAAGGCAGGTCCAATGCCTTCCCCTTTGGTCCCCTATTCCATCTAACACAGGATTTAGTACTCCCCAGGGGTCCAAGTGCAACATTTATGTGGGGGAGGGGAAGGAGGCAAGAACAATGGCCCTAGCCAGGGCCCTGGCTCCTGAGGTATACCAACAACCCCTGCTAACTAGAGGTTGGCTGAGAGTTGGGGATGGCCCCTCCACAGCAGGCCCCTGAAGGGACTGACTGGGAATGGGGCAACAGGCGGTGGGAGGGCAGGAATGAGAGGGGGAAGGAGGCTCCCAGTGGAGCTCAATGGGAATGGAGGGTAGAAGGACAGCCACCAAGGGATGAGATGAGAAAGGCCAGAGGCCCCTCTGAACAGCCCTCCTCTGGTGCCTGGATGGTCTCTGCCAGGGTCTAAGTCAGGAGCCCAGGCCTAAGGCTCCCTCTCTAATGCCCCAGCCCAGGATGAGACTTCCAGAGCTCCTTCCTTCCTGAGCCCAAGAGCAGGGAGAATCACTGTGTCCCCAACAGCTTGGTGCAGTGGAAATCACATCCAATGGGCAAGCAGGAGACCTGGGCCATCTTCCAGGGCCTGCTGCTTACTGATGGCCTGAGAAGAGTCCCATCCTCTTCCTGAGCCTCAGTCTCAGTCTGAGAAATGAACTCGTGGGACTAAATTATTTCAAAGCACATTCCCAATCACATTCTAGGATTTAGACCTGCCCCTGTTTAAAAGCCATCAGTATCTCTATCCCATACCCAGTGCCAGCAGAACACTATTTCAGAGGCTCTGTGGTGTCTTGGAGGGAGAGACACCTAGATTAGAGTCCAGCTTTCCCTCTACTAACTGTGTGACCTTGGACAGTTCACTCCTCCACTTTGCGCCTCAGTGCCTAGCTCTGTAAATGGCGACAGTAAAACCCACCTTAGGGATGGCTGAGAGCATTCAAGGAGACACCTGGCACAGATGCCTGAAGGTGCCTAGCGCAGGGCTTGGCCCTGAGACCCTCAATGAACTGCAGTTCTCTCCCAGCTTCCAGCCTCATGTCCCCTCTTGCCATCTTCCCCCAACATCCATAATCCATCAAGCTCAGAAGGAGTTCCACATCCTGCAGGAAGCCCTTCTGGTGTTCTAGCCCATGGCACTCTCCCTGGCCTCAGCATCTTCTGCACCATCCACCCATTTCTTCGCTCTTTCAGCAGACATGCACTGGTTGCTCCTTGGTGCCATGCTCCATGCTGGGTACTATGGGCACAGAGATTGCTCCAACACTGCCACTGTCTCCCAAAGGCAGGGTTGGGGAAGGGAAATGAGACAGGACACAAAAGACTAAGACCTATGACAGTCAGGGAGAGGGCCAGAGAAGAGGGAGTCCTAAGCTAGCTAAAAAGGGTTAGGGAAGGCTTCCAGTAGGAGGCATTGGAACTCCATGCCTTTCGGGACAGGAAATATATCTACAGGGAGAAGAGAAAGCTGGGACAGTACATGGGGGGAGCAGGAAGGGAGGTGGGAGCAAAGCCCAAGGGCAGGACTCACTTGAGAGGAGTAAGTGTCCCAGAGGGAGTTGAGCCCAAAGAGACTGGAAAGGCTGGGGAAGAAGACTTATGTCTGCTCCTCTAGCCTTTGCACCCACCCCATAGTGGCCTGAGAGTCATGGGCTCCCAGGTCAGAGTACCCATGACCCTTAAAATGCAACCACTGAGCATCTAGAGCTGTCCACGCCAACAAACCTCCTCTTCTCCACTGACCCTGGCACATCTCCTCCTCTGACCCTGTCTGCAGCCACCAACAAGCACAGCCCCCTCCTTCCATTTAGGTATGCCTCCCCGGCAGAGGCTCCCTCTCTGAAAGGGAGCCTGACAGCTCACAGGCCCTAGGCACAGCCCTCCACCCTCAACGTCCTCTCCTCCAAAAGCATCAACTATTTCTACTCCCCAGAAAGATGGCCAGAAGAGGGTCTGGAGGCCACAATCCAGTCAAGCCCCTGTTCCCTCCCAAGATGGCTCCCCCCTTTCCACTGGCTGGCACTGAGGCTTTCCTGGGGTGTCCCTGCCCCTCCTGCCACCCCCAAATGCATCAAGGCTCTAAAAACCAGGGTGTGGAAGATAGACAGCCTGGGGTAGGCAGGGACAGATTCCCCAAACCTCAATACCCTGCCCTCACACCAGCAGGGGTCATCACCAGCCCACCATGCTGATCTAGGCAAAGCGGGGAGGGATTGCAGCTTCCCCATGGACAATTCAGATCCCAGGTCACTTGACTATTCACCTGACCCTAGACTAGCTGGTGCCCTAGGGTGAACTCCTGACACCATAGAAAGAATTGTGGACCCAGGGTCGCACTTCTTGCCCTGGGGCCAGCTCCAGGCAGAGCAGTGGGAAAGATTTGGGGGGAAAGAAGCCACTGGCCAAAGTCATTATGCCAGCTTTAAAGAGGGTGCCCTAGTGGGCAAGATAAAACGAGAGTAACCCAAAGCACACTCTTGGAGGTAAGAGGAGGCTCCCCAATGTCCAAGGCCTGGGAATGCATTCCTCTGAGATGCCCCCAAGGGTCGGATGGGGTGTCCCTCAGGGGTGCTTCAAAGTGACAGTCCCTTGTCACCCCACTAGACCTCCCACCCCTCATCCACAGCATGCACAAAGCTGCTCCCAGCACGCCCTCTCCTGTCTGCTGGCTGGCCCCACGCCCTAGGCACACACTCTGTGACCCCTGGGGGTGCCCGGGAGGCCTCCCTCCCGCCGGCCCGCCTGGAGCCCAGACGCACGGAGCAACCCTTGGAAGCCCCAGCCTGCGAGCCCAGCCCCCTCTCCTGCCGGACGACCCCACCTTCCAGCCGGCCGAGCTGTTGCTGTCGCCTTTATCCTTGAAGTAGGGCACGTAACGGACCATCCAGTCGTAGATCTGCGAGAGCGTGAGCCGCTTGTCCGGGGCGCTCTCGATGGCTTTGGTGATGAGGTCGGCGTAGGACAGGTTGCCCCACGCGTTCCGCCTGGAGCTCTTGGCTTTCCGCAGCGGTCCGACCTCCGCGCCCAACGGCGGCGCTGGGGCCATCGCCGGGGCCGTCGCCCGGCGCTCCGGCCCACAGTCCTCGACGCCCTCGGCCACCCCTGAGCCCAGCGCTCCGTCCTCATCGCCGGCCAAGTCGGGCTGCGGCAGGGGCCAGGTACACGAGCGCGGCCGGCTCTGCGGCGCGAAGTCCGGGTCCACGTCCACCTGATGCGCTCGCAGCTTCGCAGCCATGGTCCCGCCCGGCTCGGGCGAGGAGGGGAGGGAGGCTCCGCGGAGGGTGGGCGGGAGGCTCCGGGATCTGCACGTCCCGGGGAGGCCCGCGGGAGGGGTCCCTGGCGGCGCCGGCTCAACCGCGGGAAGCCATGGGCCGGGACGCGGAGACAGGGGGCTGGACTCGCTGGAAAGCCCAAAGGGAGGGAAAGATGGGGACAGTGAGGGGGCGGCAGCCCCGGAGCCCAACCGGCACACACCTCGCCCAGCTCTGCTTCTAGCACCTGCCTGCGCCT